TAAAAAAATTCAAATGTGAAGTAATGGCTTGCAAAACGCTTTGTATTACAATTTCCTGGTCTCGGGATCTCGCTATCTACAAAATCAGAAACTCACCAATAGTAGATTCCTTGTATCACCGTTGAAATCCTTCTCAATCGCTTTTTCGATAGGATAACCAGCAACACTTTCGAATTCCGAGATCAAGTAGCCGACATGGTTCGCATTCGATGTGGCCAGCACTTTGTACTGCATATAAAAAGACGTTAAAACTACATATAAACTCATTATTTTTGAAATTCCGATAACCTATTCCAGTCAGAGCCAAAAAATTATCTAAAGCTCTAGTTCTACTCACCGCGTCGAATTTGTCGGCCGAACCTCTCTTATCAGAACATCTCAGTATATTGTGTGCTTCCTAAAGCAAAATTCTTCGTGTATTTGTCCTTTTTTGTTTCTTTTCACAATGACCTGCTTTGTAGAATTCGGGCACATAAAAATCAATGATTTAGGACTTTATCTTCCTTTGATTAAAGTGTGGGTACATCTCATCAAATAGAGTTGCATACAATGATTACCGCTCTCAGAAGTGTGAAAATAAAAACTGTTCCAATATTTCAATTTTAGAAATTCTTAGAAAGTTGTAAAATTTAAAGATTTCAGGTTACCAATACCTGTTCCATGCTTTTTTGTTTTTCGCAGACTTTACAGATCGTCAGTCATTCCCTCGACAAGACACATAGTGCAGAAATTTTTAAAAATATCTTCCACTAGGTAAAAGGAACAAAAAAATTTTGGTCCCATATTTTTTGCCAGATGATAAATCAGAGAATGGGAATGTTTTGCTCCAGTTTTTAATGAAAACTGAGATAATATAAAATTTCGACTCTCCTCTTGAATCCCAAGTTTATTTTGAAACATGACTGGCCTTTTCGTTTGCAACTATAGTGTTTTCCATGCTTCTCAAGAATCGGCCGATTCAGATCAGCTAATCCTTACAACACTTGCAAACGCACTAAGGATTGGCCCGCGGGTGCGCCACGGTTGCGTTGCGGCGTCTCAGTTGAATATGAATTTGGCGCAATTCGGCTCTATCGCACCAGAGTTTTTAGAAGACAGCAGCAAGCGCATCGGAGAGGTGAGCAGCCATGGTCTGGCGCAGCGCCACACTCTCAATCGGACGATCCTTAAGTTACAAGCAGCTTAAAACGAAAATACAAAAAAAAGCCAATAAGTCAGTAGAAGCTTTAGAACTTCCGAATATCAAATTCGTAGACAACATGTTAGTAACGATGTTTGCCAAATTCCAGCACATAAGAGCAATAGGTGCGAAAAAATAAACCATAAATCGATAAATCATT